CTTTTAAAAAAAAAAAAAAAAAAAAAAAAGAGTGTAAGTGGGAGTACAGGTGCTTGACCAGCCCACCTACACGGTGACCTTGGCTTTCTATTGCCCGGCCAGCGCTGAGCCAGGACGGGATAAAACGGTGATGGGGGCAGACAGGTCCCTGCCTCAGAACTCACGGCCAGGCAGGTCTGGCATGTGACACATGTTGCCGCCAGGAGTCTAAAAGGCAGCTCGAAATGTGGCCCCAGACAGAACCCAACTTAAGTCCCACCTTCTCGGGTCTTCCTCATTCAGTAACTAGCCCACCGTCCAGCCAGGTCGCAAACCCTGTGGGTCACCCCGACTCCTCGCTCCATCTCCCACATCTAGTCCCGTTACACACCTCGGCCCTGCCCGCCGTCACCGCTCCCTGTAGGGGGGTCTCCTGCCTTCCACCCTTGCCCCCAGGGTCTACCCTCTGAGCTGCGGCCAGAACAATTTTTTTTTTTTTTTTTAAGAGAAAGCAAAAGTTTATTGAAGGAAAGACAAAAGCTTCCTCCACAGTGAGAGGGGTCCCCCAACCAGGTAGCCCCAGAGCAATCTTTTAAAGACAAATCATTTCACGCCCCTGGTTATCCCCTCCAATGTCTTTTTTTTTTTTTTTTAAATGTGTTTTTATTGATTTCAGAGAGAGGGAGGCAGAGGGAGAGAGAGAAACATCAGTGATGAGTCATTGATCAGCTGCCTCCCTCGCGCCCCCTACTGGGGATCGAGCCCGCGCACCCTGAGCATGTGCCCTGACCGGGAATCGAACCATGATCTCCCGGTTCATAGGTTGCCACTTTACCACTGAGCCACGCCAGCCAGGCAATGTCAGGCATTTTAGAAAGCGCCACTGAGTGCAGAATGGTTTCCAGGGAGAAAGCCAGGGGATGGGGGGAGCTGAGAGGTGCAGGGGCCCAGGTGAGTGGCGCTGATGCCCCGAGCCTGGCGAGTGGCCATGCAGGAGTAAACGGGCGGCCTCGTGCAGGAGGCGTTCAGGAGGGGGTCTTGCCAAGATGAGGTGATGGACTTGGCTGAGAGCGAGGGGCTCGTTATTAGTGGCACCCAGGTTTCCAGCTTTTGGGTCTGGGTGGGTGGGTGGAGGTGCCATTCCCTAGAGCTGGGAGGCCACCAGAGGGACATCTGGTGTGGGGGAAGGACTGGGGCAGGGGAGACGAATGTCAGTTTTCCAGGAACAGGGAGTAAGTAGCCCATGTGGTCAGCTGTTGACGAGAGCCCTCTTGGGTGAGGAAGACATGTCCCCTGGGGGCACTGGCCAGGAGGATGCTGGTCTTGGCAGGAGCAGTTTGGCTGGAGCAGCTGTGGCCTGTGTCAAGCTCTGAACGGAGGTGAGGAAGCAAGACTGGAAGCAAAGCAGATTATCTCCCGAGAAGTTCGGGGAGAGAAAGAGAGGTAGGGCTGCAGCTGGGGGCCGGCAGGCAGCTTGGTGTTTTATATTTTACTTATTTTTTAATGTTTTTTTAATTGATTTTTTTTTTTTTTTAGAGCAAGGAAGAGAGGAGAGATAGAAACATCAATAATGAGAGTCATTGATCAGCTGCCTCCCGCACGCCCCCTACTGGGGATGGAGCCCACAACCCTGGCATGTGCCCTGACTGGTAATCGAACTTCAGTCTCTTGGTTCATGGGTCTATGCTCAACCACTGCGCCACACCGGCCGGGCATGGTGTTTCGTATTTTAAGTTGGGAGAGATTTAAGTCCTTCTTAAAGTGAGAGGAAGAGCCCGGCCCATGTGGATATCGCGGGTCAATTCCTGGTCAGGGCACATGCCCGGGTTGTGGGCTCGATCCCCATTAGGGGGTGTGCTGGAGGCAGCCGGTCAAGGACTCTCTCATCACTGGTGTTTCTCTCTCTCTGTCTTTCCCTTCCTTTCTCTTAAATCAATAGAGATATATTTTAAAAATATAAAATAAGTCAAGTCAGAGGAAGAACCCAGAAGAGAGGGAGGTTGGCAATCGAGGAAGGGCAGGGGCATGGCATTTGGAGCCCAGGGATGGTCCTGTCCTGAGGAAGGGGTGCCTCTTCCACTGTACCAGGCGGGGTGAGGGCAGAGGCTGGCTTGGGGGCAGGAGGTGGACGGTTTGGAGGTTGGAAATGAGAGTTCCCAGGCCATGGCTTCTCTTTTCGCCAAAAAGTAGCAGGGGGAGGCCTTGGGCCTTCCATTGCACGGCCACTGGCTGGGAAGTGGCCCCGCCTGAGAGGGAGCTCGGGCGGGGCCTGGTGGAGGCTTTGGAGCCCGGCTGGAGGGCTCAGGACCCCCCATCCTGCCCCATCACTGGGCAAGTCCACTCCTTGCTGGACCCCACCCCTCCCCCTCGCAGTGCGCACAGTGCGCGCGGGGTTAGCCGTCCCGCCCCCTGGGAGGGCGCTGCGGGGAGACCCAAAGGGGTCCGGTGTTCCTGGCGGGTGGGCGGGGG